GGAGTGAAGGGAGGGGAAGGGGAAAGGAAAAGAGGGAAAGGAAAAACTTTGAGAAAAGAAAAAAAAATGGAAATGAAATCTATGTAAATAGGGAAAGGTGGAGGGGGTGAAGGGCACACAAGTAATGGGGAAAAAATAAGAACCAAGATATATCATGTACAGGTATAAACACCCAATGATAAATGTAAACAAATTGTATACCTAAAATGTACCAATAAAAGAACTAAAAACAAACAAACAAAAAAAGAGACTGAAGACTTTCTTGTTAACATTTTGATTAAAAAAGAAATGAGAAAGATGTGGGAGCCCATGATGGTTTCCTTTCTCACTTCCATTTTTCAGTTCTAGGTGCTGGAAACACAAAAATATAAGTGATATAACATGTCTCCTATTTGTAGTTCTCCCAGCCTAATGAGGTAAGTAAAGGAACTGAAATCATTTCTAATGATGTCTGGGTGGTTATGGAAAAAATATTCCTTGACTTACTGTGATCTTAATATGAGAGGCAAAACCCTGGGTATGTGGTTATAAATCAGAAGCTCTGGTACTTACTCAACATGTGAGTTTACATTGCCTTCTGCCTCAGGTTCCTTTTCTATTTGTAGTAGACACGTAGAAACCTACTTAGCATACACAGTAGCCATTGGCTACTGTATTTTCTAAAAAAAGATTCCATGGATGTATTCTCTAATATTATATTGAAGTCATAATTCTTATTCTTTTGTCATTTTCTTTTTGTGGTGCTTGGGTTGGAACCAAGGGCTTGCACATGTTAGGCAAACACTACCACTGAGCTACTCCTTACACTTATATTTTTAATATAAAGCATAAAGATACATAGATTTGACTAAAGTATTTTTTGTGCTCATTTGTGCCAAATACATTTCAAGCAAAAAGTTGATATACATTCAATTAAAAAAAATTTTTTTTTAAGTAGGTTCTCACTATGTTGCCCAGCCTGGCTCAGTTTCTGGGCTCCTCTGCTTCAGTCCCCTGAGTAGCAGAGGCCACAAGCACACCTGTGCCACTATCCACAGTTTTAAAAAATTAATTGAAAATATTTCAGGTACATGCAATTCAACTTTTGGAAAATGTGGCTGGAGCTTTTTGTTATTTTAAAAATTATGTGCCCTTTGGCTTAAACTATGAAGTATTACGGTAGCTGGAACTAGAACAACTGAATGGCCCTGGGTGACACGGGCAAGAGGACTCAAGACGGCTCTTGGTGCTGACTCCCCACAAAGCTGTTAGCTTCCCTTTCTCTTCCTGTTTTCTTTCCTCCTTGGTGTGTCTAGAGCCCTTTTGCATCCTGATTTTTCAATACCCTCTTTCCATGTGTGGCCAGGGCAGCACTGTCCTCTGTCCCCAAAGCTTTTCACTCTCAGGGGAGCAGCCGCAGCTAAAGGTTTTCCATTTCACTGCCTGCCCCATGAAGTCATTCTTAGGTGTGAGAGAGACACTTTCACAGCTTTTCTTTTCTAATGAAGTAGTTTATTAGTCAAATGAATCTCTAAAGGGCTGTGACTGGGGAGTATTTCTAGGGAGGACTCAGTCTTTCTAAGCTACACAGGTCCTTACTTTTTGTTCTTGGAAGTCCAATACCCTGGCTTTTTGACTTGTTTCTTGGCCCAGGAGCCTCCTGGGCTGACCACACTCAATGGGTTGAGTGCAATGGGGGACAGGCAAGTTGAGGGCATCAAGCCAAGAACCTAAGACCTTTGTCAAGCTGACCTGAGCACCAGTGAGGCACCAGCCCTGCTCTGTGTCACTTAGTCTTCACCACAGCACTGTGAAGGTGGCTCCACTGTCTCAGAGTCTCACAGAAGGAAGCAGTAGCAAATAGGGTTTAACCAACTTGGCAAGATTACCAAAGCCAAAGACTAGTAATAGTCTTTAAGATTCATCAATATTTGTGTGCACTGACCATGCCGGGTGCAGTACTTTGCAAGAGTCACTGCATTTAGCTCTCACTCTGATCCTTCCAGGCAGATTCTACTATCATTTATCATCATTTCTTATAAGAGGACTCAGAGAGGGAGCCATTAAACCACTTGGTCATGCCACACAGGTGGAATAGTGCAGACTCCAGCCTAAAAGAAAAAAGGCAGTGGAGAATGTGCCACATGGTAAGGAATGAAATTAGTTGTAAAGATGTCTCTTGAATCAGTCATGCTCTGAAGTGTACTTCATGGTGATTTCTAGAACCAAAGTAACACTAGGTCCTTCTGTGTGGACCCAATCTGTGGAGGGGCAAAGGGGAGTCCTTTGCCCACCTTGTTTCCAGGCTCACAGCAGCAGATGCCATTGAATAGAAGAGTAACAGCAGCTTCACAGCCTTGAGGTTCTCCCAGGCCAGCCCTCCTGAACCACCAACCTCTCTTAGAAGCACCTGCAGCTCATTTAGGCTTTTGAGGAATCGCTCAAGGGAGGAGACAAGCTGGGTCTGGCATCAGATGCCTTCTGTGTGATGAGTGGGCAGTGGGTGACAAGCTGCGCTGTGAGCAAGTTTGCCACATGGGAAGCCCTGCCACTGCTGGCTCATGGGGACCAGGATAGGATCTGGTGGGGAGTAACAACGAGGAGATGTTTTGGATCTTTTGTCCTTTTCTAGTAAGGAACAATAGGATTGTCAAAGTACGAAAATAACATGGCATTCATTGGGTGGAGAGAATCTTTTTAAAATTTACATGGTTTAGAGAATTGTAAAGGTGGAATTTAGTATTTAGCTCATATAAAAGAAATCTCTTAAGTCAGGAAGTTATATATGTGGAAGACAATTATACATGTGGTTCACACAAATGTTCTATATAATTTTAGGCAAATGGAGAGCTTTTCTGTTTGTAATTAAAACTCCCTCCTGAAAGTTCAAAGCATCATAAAAGTCAGAATAACTTAAGTAGAAGTCCTCTTAGTGATGTTTTTCCGAAGAGAAGAATATTATGATTATTTGTCTAACACACTGTGTCACGGGCCTATGGTTAACATTTATGTGTATTTTACCTTTAGACTGAGATGTTGAACAAAAATAAAAAAGCAAACCTCAGAAACCTCAACACTGGTAACCTCAGTGTTGAACCCCATCTAGTCTTACTAGATTCCTTGCAAAATTGAGATTAAGGGAACTGGGAAATGGATGAGGACATGGTGGCCATCTTTGTAAGTCATTTTGTTTACATTTCGTCACAGTTTTCAGGTTTCCAAAAATGTGTATTTTAACACTTAAATGGTCCAATTACATAAGAAACACACAAGAATTATTTTCATTCCATTGCTTTATTATTCAACATTTATGTTTCATATCCATTTGATAAAAATAATTTAATAAATATATAAATAAATATAAGTTAGCTCATATAATTTTATGAATAAAAATATATCAATAAATATTTTAAATAAATGATGCATGAGTGTTTCTCTGAACACTGGTAGAGAAATAGCTTATCAATTCTTGTTCTTCTATTAAAGAGAAAGAAATTCAGGGAGGACATTTTCCCTTGCTAGCAATTTGCTCATAAAAACTTAAAAAATACTTATTAGTAATAAAGTATAAATGTGAAAGTCGCTTGATTAAAGGGTTTGTGTGGACATAGTACCACCACCTTTCAAATGAGGGTACACTAATGTAACAGAAGCTAGAGGACTCTTGTAGGAGTGTAAGTATGACCAGGTGTCCCCCTCTGCCTCCCCAGTTCCTAACCCCAGCTTATTAAAATTTCTTTGGGTCAAATTTTATAAAAGTGACACTGAGGTTGGGAAAGCCCTCAGCCTTTTAGGAAGAATTCAGATAACTCATCATTCTGTCGATAGTGACTGCACGAATTCTGAAAGCATGAAGAAGTATGCAGAGCTTGATTTTAGTTTTATAAAAATCTGGTTCTTCAGAGGAAGGTTTTTGTGGCACAGTCTCACTGTTGACATTCAGGGCCTAGAAGAGCAAATAGTGAGCATAACATATATAGTATTCTAAAGTGAAAACATTCATCTGTAAAAGTGGGTGAAGCCAATATATGCATCAGAGGCTGCAACCCAGTCCCTCCTTACACTCCTAAACCCAACCCAAATGTTATCCCAGCCAGACGGCCCAGCAGAATCTGAGTCAGGAAACATCTCCACACACATGCATCTTCAGTGAGCTCAAAAAGACCCTTAAAGCTGCTTAGAAAATCATCAGCAAGAGTTGTGTTTTAGAAAGGCCCAATTTTGTCAAGATGACATCTGCTGCAATATCTAATTAATTTTTTATAGATTACATTAAGAAGTCCCAGTACTTTTTAGAACAGAGGTTTTGGATTACTATTAATCAGAACTGTCTATCACTGAAAGACCCATTTACTCTAGAAACATTTGTGTAAGAGAAATGAAACTTGCAATAGATTTCCCCAAGTTTAGCCTTTTGATTTGAAAACATATTACAAGGTCTTTGGTTTGAATGATGACCAATACTCTTACTTGCTCATCACAAAAAGCCTGAAAGAAAGGTAAGGTATACAAAGTCATCCCACTTTACAGAGGAGCAAACTGAGGCACAGTGGGGTTAACTGACATGGGCATAGTTGCCTGGTTACTGGCAAAACTGATTCCACCATCCAAATCACCCTTCTTATGGTCCTAAAAATGAAATATCAACTTGTCAACTACAAGTCTCTGCGTGGCAAGATTCTTTGGAACATGCATGAAGTTCACTGCCTTTCAAACAAGTAATATGGCACTAGAGTGCAGATGCACATGTGCGCAGAAATAAAATAATGAAATAAAAAATCAATTACTTTTCCAGACAATGATTTCTGCCATGATATTTTCATCCTACGCCTTAGGCACCGAGGCATTCATCTTATTTCTTATCTGCCTATTTGAATGTTTTGTACCAGCATATTATGCTATGCTGGCCGAGAAAATTGGACAGCAAGTTCCTGCCTGAATGTCCCAGGTGATAGGTCATTCTTTTATTTTGTTCACACTTGGTTCAAAATGTGTCATAATACGAGGCCCTACATTTTTCCTCTAGCAATATTTGCTGCCCCCTAGAGGCGAGTGAGAAGATAAGCACAGCAGGATTCTCTGGAAGGAAATCCTGCCTGTGTGTCTTACAGGCTTTAACATGTGGCTTCATTCACCCTCTTCTGTTTCAGTTTCCTCCTTTGCAGAGACCTCATGTGGTTGTTGCACGGATGACAGAAGAAAATGCATGAAATCACCTGCAAAGGGCCTAATGCACACCCCGAGGTCAACAAGTGGGAGGATGGCTTCTGACTGTCCACATTTACACTCCCCCTAGAGGACACCCTTTCTTCAGGGTCTCTCAAAGGTGGATGTGTGGGCCTCTCCTAATCCAGTAAGGGGTGATTTTATTTTCCTTCATCAGTGACACTGCATGGCTACCTTTAGCATGAAAAAGTGCTCTCACTAGTAGGATGAGTCCTTACCTGCATCAACTCATCAATAGCTGAAAGCATGTTTTGATCTAGAAAGATCTGCCTGTTAGGATCCATCAAAAGCTTTGCATTCATGGCCTTGAACTCCAGCTGGTACAGTTTCAAGTCCTCATAGATACTATTAAGGCACAGGGTCTGAATGACATGACAAAATGGAAAAGAAACCATTGGAAAGGACTAAAAACATTACCATCTATTGTATTTGAAGAAAGGGTGGTATTTCTTACCATCAAAAACGAGGTCTTTCTGGAAGTCAGGCAACTCCCATTCTAGAAGAAAGAATAGTTAGACATCAATAACTCAAATTCATCACATGAGAGGAAAACTTTAGTTTTTTTACTTACAGTTATGAAAGAAGTATGTCCAGAAGCCAGGCAGCTCTCATTCTAGAGAAAAAGAGCACATATCAAAGATATTAATTCTTTAAAAATTTTTAAAATATAATACAAGTAGATATTAATAAAGAAAATATTAAAAAGCATTCTATGAAAAAAATTCACAACAATAATTAGAGAATAACAATAATTAATATATCATAATCTTAAAAGAATGGCTAAAATGTTACTCAGAGTCCAAGTTATAGACAAAAAGACTCTCTTACAAGGAAGAAGCAAATGGATAAAAGCACAGAACATTTTTTCAATGAACTAAGAGAAACTAGTAGTATAAATGAAACAAATTAGCATATATATTCTTAATATAAATATGATGTTTCATCTCACTTAAAATAATGAAAAAACACAATATAAAATTCATTTTAAGTATTGTGAAGTGCATAATTTAGGGGTTTTAAGTATATTTACATTGTTGTGACAAAACATATGTCTTTTATATATATTTTTTCAAAATCTAACTTCTTGTTTTGAAACAGTCTTACTATGTAGTCTAGGCTTGCCTTGAACTCCCTATGGAGCCCAGGCTGACCTGAATTTGTAACAATCATCTTGCCTGAACCTCATGAGTGCTGGGATTACAGGTGTGTGCCGTCACGCCTGGCCTTCAAAATCTAACTTCTAATGGGCACAAGAAATGTGCAAATTTTTGACAGCTGAGGTTTGGTGCACAGCTTAATTTTATTGTGTACTTGGGAAGAAAGTCTTCCATACCTTGACTAGTTCCAGTGGCACACAGGCTTTCACTGTGCTGGTTTTGTCTTTTGTGATATCTTCATGATCCAACTCTTCAGGAGTACAGGAGTAAAATTCTAGGGTTTGTCTGGCCTATTTAAAAAAAACATGAAGCTCAGTTGTTACTACTAATAAAATGCCTGAAAATGCTTGGCTGGAGCTGGCTGCCCTTATGTTTAGTCTCCTTGACCTGTAGGAAATTTCTGATCTTCATAAGATAAACTAGGTCACTTACATTCTCTTACTCCCTCTCCTCTCCCTTAGCTTAGGACGTATTTCTCTGTTTAACATCTTTTCCCATTATATAAGCACAGTAAGTCATCCCAACAGGCTGTGCTAATCAGCATCTACACCACACTGTGACACTTGCTTCTGGTGAAAACCATTTATTCTTTTGCCAAAGTGCTTCTGTTTTATGAATATATTTCTGAAGTATAACTTCTAAAGGGGAACTGTTAAGGTCACAGCTTGATGGCTATAACAAACATGTGCACCCTAAAGACTAGCTGAGATTTAATTTGCAGTACAAACACATGCAATACACATAGAGAGATGTCATCTTCCCAGCATGCTGGCAAGCGCTGTTGAACAGAATTATGCAAAGCATTTTAAAGAGTCAATGACTTTACGATTGAAGCTTGAGATTATTTTTCCAGTTAACAAGCCCGAAGTGTGCCAGGCACTGTGGTACTAAGGACACAACAAAGAAAAAGACTATAGCATGCTCTGCTGGATTCCAAGTTTAGCTGTGAGGACAAGCAAGTGCCCAAACACTTGTCAGCAGCTGAGAAGTGAGTAAGGGCAGTGAGACTCTAGGAGAGGCCAGAGAGGGATGCAAAGACTTCACTGGAGACCAGCCATTTGCAGGAAGATTAGAGAGTTATGGGTAGAGGAGGGGAGTTTCAGGCTGAGAGAACTGCATGAGTCATGAGCCAAGGCCTGAAAGAGCAGAACACTTCCGGGGCCAAGTAGTATAATCCCTCTCTCAGTTAGATAGTCTAATGCTCTCACCTCTAAAGATGTCCACTTCCCCATCCCTGGAACCTGGGAATATGTCATGTGACATGACAAAGAGGGAATTAAGGTGTAGGTTACCTTCAAGTTGCTAATCAGCCAACCTTATGGCAGAGAGAGACTATCCTGGGGATTGAGGTGGGCCCAGGGTAACCCACCGGGTCTTTATGGATGGGAGAGGGAGATGCAGAAGATAGAGTGATAAAGCAGGAGGAAGAAAAGAGCACCCTGCCCTGGCTTATTTTTTCTTTTGTGGTGCTGGGCATGGAACCTAGGGCCTTATGCATGTCAGGCAAGTAGTCTGCCAGTGAGCTAAACCCCAGTACAAGGGAGCCTGAACCCAGAATGCAGGAGCTTCTAGAATCTTGAACAGGCCGGATAACACATTCTTCCATTCTCCTAAAACATTTTCTTAAAGCCACTGAATTTGTGGTAATCTGTGACAGTAGCCACAGAAAATGCACACACTGTTCTTTAGGTGTCTAGCAGCCCTAGGCAACTATTATTTAAGCAAGAGAGAGAGAGAGAGAGAATATGAATGTGGGCCCTGTGTGGGTTCTTCAGATCTTTTCAAAGAAAGCTGAAAATTTAGATTCTTACATGAAAGTTTCAATTTTTCAATACGATCCAATTCAAATATCAAAATAAAATAAAATAAAAACAATATGGGTAACACTGTACAAATCTATGGCACTATGAATCCCATGCATCTGCCACCTCTGTTTTCTGTAGCTTCTGGTTAGTTTGCTCTGAAAAATTTGACCAAGTCATGGTATAAAAAACCATCAAATTGAATTCTGTAATGTTTTGACCTTCAGCACTACATCTGGGCATACAAGAGTTAGTTTTATCACATATAGCATCTATTTAAATCAGAGCACCTACATCTTATCCATATTGAACCTTTCTCCAGGAAACAAAGCACTTAACTCTGCTGGTTTCACTTGCTGAGCCTCCCTTTTAATTAAGATTGATTGAACCATGAGGCGCAATTGGCAATCCATTATGAAAGATAAGAAGGGAAGAAGCAAGGACCTTCTTTAAAAAGTTCTTGTGGTCTTGAGCTTATTTAAAAAATTTCAAGAAGGTAAAAGGATGCCCTCCCCACCCCCGGTGTTGGTGGAGATGAAACCCATGTTCTCAGACATAGTTAAGCAAATAGTCTACCACTGAGTTACCCATCCCTATGATATCTGTTAAAACATTGGTCTTTGCCTTGTGCAACAAAAGCAAGAGCTAAGTGGAGCAGTTATAATAAAAAGGAATAGAATTTAGTTTGCATTCAAATATGAAATCTGAAAAAAAGAATGATGCTGTAAAGAAAATTGGACAACTCTTCCCTAAAAAATGAAAGCTGGACACGCTGTCATAGCCCTCCTTGAGATGTGCTGCCCTGACACAGAACTGCATCACCACACTAGATGCTGGCAAGCAATGGAAGGGAGAATCTAATTTAGCTCTGCAGCTCAGACAGTGCAGACAACGCATCTAATAACTGTTTTCTGGATCAACATGCAATATCAGAAAAACAGTGTGCACCTGACAAAATTTCACCCATGTCGGCAGGCTGTGGAGACCACTATTTTAAATATCCATTTTCCTCTCTGTAGACACAGCCCAAATGAATGCCATTTGAATTTATTACCACCCTTGCTGTCTCTGGGGAAACAGTTTCATTGAGACTAGTTAATAGTAGAGCCATTTGTAAAGTTCTTTGTCTTCTCCTGACAGCTACAGCTGAACTACAATTTCCTTGCAGCTCCTCTGGGTACCAGTGTGGGGTCAGTGACATTCTTCAGGCAGAGCGCTGTGAGCCAGGGAGAAGGACACAGACAGCGGAGCTCACCTTTTGAAGCGTGCTGCTCACTGCGCTCAGCAGGGTTTGGGAGTGGTTAAGGCACTGGAACGTTTCTCTGACCGTTGTGGCCCTAGGGAGGCTCCTGGCCCAACTGAGATGGACTGGGAGGACAATGGTGGCCAAAAGTAGGAAGCCTGGAAGGGAAGCGAGGTGGGCTGAGGGGCTTGTCAGTGGGGTTGACTTGCAGCTATATTCCAGCCATTCTGGTCCTCTTTACTCCTCCACCCCTGGTACTAACCTCCCTCCCCCAGTTCCTATGAATCAAAGTTTTAGAGAGCAGCATTCAGTTCTAGGGCTAGAAGCCAGCTTCCTGGGAGTGCCCAGGATAAGCTGGGACAAGGGTGTAGGACTCAGGGGGCCCTCAGAGAAAGCCTTCACTTTTGGGTAGAGAAACTGAGGCCAGGCAGCTAAGGGACTTGTTCAGACTCAGGCCACTGTGTTTTGAAAACAGCGGCGTGACCAAGCCTCGGTTTGGAGTTGGCTGTGACTTGCCTTCATATAGCTGTAGCTCCCAGGCTGGGACTCAGTTTCTTGTGTGTGCAGTGGGCTTAATGATAGCTCACGCGCTGTTCCCAAATGAAAAGAGACAATGCCTTATCAAGCGCAGGGCCGATTGCCTGCCAGGCTCCCCTTGACCAGTCCGGGCTTCCTGCCTCCTGTCCCGGCCCGCCCGCCAGGTACTCACTGAGCGAAGGACCCATGTTGAGCCGGCTGTGCGGACCCCGAGCGGCAGTTGGATGCAGGCCGGTGGGCGCAGCAGGTGAGGCGGCGGTTGGCAGCTGATCCAGGGGGCCACATTTTTATAATTGCCTGGAGGCGCGGCAGGACTTTCCCGGGACGAGGGCTCTTGCTTTCTCTGTCTGTCTCCCACTGCATCAGCTTTTCAGTGACACGTGCGGTCGTCCGGGCCGCGGGGCTGGCGGCGCTTTCGGATTAACTCAGAGTGCCCGGCTGCACTAGTTCCGGGACCGTCCCTCTGACTCCCACAGCGTCTGAGCGAAAGCGAAATCAGCTCAGAGTCGCCCCCACCACATCCTCGGTCCCTTCCTGGCTTCGTCCAGAAGCCCCCGCCCCAGCCACGGACCCCCACCCTCCCGCGCATAGCGCCCCCTCAAGGAGCACAGGGGAGGTGACACACTTCGCTCTCCTGTGTCAGAGATGTGCTAGGAGTTGGTGAACACCTGCCTGATTCTGGGTCACTCACTCACCATCCTTTCTCTCAGGTGGCCCAGTCTGTGCCAGGCCGAAGGTGTCCCAGGCTTTGGGGGCGCTCCCACACCAAATCTGATGTTCTGTTCACGCGTCATCTCTTAAACATGCAGAGTCAAACTAAGATGGCTATACAGTAAGTATACTCTTAGGGAATCTAGTTTCTGACAGTGTGGGAGAGAACAGTTAGGATCTGGCAAGGACGGTGCGCACGGTCCTGGGAGGAAAGGCTTGGAATGAGAATGCAACTGAGCAGGAACAATGGGGTCCTGGAGGTAGCAAAGGCTCCTGGGAGCAGCTGCCCCACACCCGGGTGTGAAAAAGCAAGTAGGTATTCAGTTCCTTCCAGTAGGATGTGGAAACAGGAATCAGAGTACATTCAGGCAGGGTGGAGGGAGGTAGGGGCTGGGGGGTCCTTGTGTCCCTGCAGAGTGTGAGGGTGGACTGCTGGAGAAGCCTTGTGGTGAGGGTAGTGGATGCCATACTCAGGAGGGTGCTTCTGTTTTGAGGGTGGTAGGAGTCTTCTAGGGTTCTAGGCAGTGAGATGTGGTTAGATTTGCGTGATAGAAAGGTCCCTTTAATCAGAGTGTGGAGGGGGTCAGGGGCAGAGCAGAGGGAGCAGTTGGCAGGGTATTGTTCCATCTCCTCCAGGATGGAGAAAAGAGAGTGGGCATACTGGATTCTCAGAGTGGCAATGGACCAAAACTTGGTAATTTCTCAGGTGGGAGGGAGAGGAAGGCACCGAGAATGGCCAAATGGAGGTTGTTCCAGTTTCTGAAGCAGAGGTTATTGTAACAGGGCAGTGAGTTTGGAGCAGACAGAAAATGTTGTATTTTGGAGGTGTTGGGTGTGAGGTTCTTGTGGGACTTTTCCGTTCACTCATTTCTACTCTAAGCCTTAGTCACTGTGTGTGTAGGAGGAGGGATTGTTTGGCCATCAACTTGGAGCCTCCAATGGGCCTTGCTGCACTCAGGCCTGAGGAATTCCCATCTGGAGCTGCTTCTTTTGTACAGATGCACCAGTCTCAATGATGAGATGCCTTTGGGTGCTTCTTCCTTCTTGTGTGTGGGGCTGCATGGAAGTCTGGATTGAGGAGCTCATGGTACGCTTTGAGGCGCTATCATGGAAACTCAGGAGGGTTGACCTCTGCTGAAGATGAGATTATGAGGCCAATGAGGAGAAAGCAGCACTGGTCCAGCCCAACCCCCTGACTCAGTTGTTGGCATCAGCTTCCTTCGGTGAATCATCTGTGGAAGGTGATGAAGCGGTACTGTAGGGACTTTTAGATGTGTATAAAGTAAGAGATGTGGCTATTCACTAAGGCCCCTTTCAGTGCTGTTGTCTGTGAATTCCCCATGGGGAAACAGACTGACTGACCGTCAGAAATAATGACGGTTAGTAGTATATGTGAAACAAATGACAGGTGCAGAACTGTGTTGTGCCACAGGGGTTTAGGATGGATGTAAAAGTACTTAAAGTAAGAATGAAGTTAAGTTTATCACAACTGAGCTATTTCTCCCCTAGAAGAGCTATCTCCTATGGAAAAGTAATTTCTACTACAGAGATGAACACAAGGCTTCTGTTCAGAATGAATTTTTGCCACCACATACAGTTTCTGACCTACCCTTCTGTGAAACATTTTCCTAACATATTGTACATATTCTAGCCAAGATGAAACAAATACTTCTTTTCACAGTAAGATTACTTTTCTATAGGAGACAGTATTTGCCCAGGATTACTATTACATAGTGTCCAGCACTATGTTAGAGATTTTGGTCAATGCTCTAAGGAAAGAAAGAGAAATGAGAGATTTAGACATTGGAAAGAAAGAGTTAAAACTGTCAGTTTTAGAAAACTAATATATGAAACCAACAAGCAAACACAAACTAACAAACAAAAAACTAAACAAAACAAACAAAAACTAAACCATAGTGAATAGACCAACTACTAGAAATAAAAAGAGAATTCAGTAACTTCACAGGATACTCATGTTGTCTTTAAAAAAACTAACCAGGCTGAGGATGTAGCTCAGTGGTAGAGTATATGCCTGGCATTCACTAGGCCCTGGGCTGAATATATAGCACCAAAAAATAAAAATTAAAAAAAGGAAATTAAAAATTAACTGAATTTTTCTGCATCTGTAAAAAGTCAATTAGGAAATACTAAAAACAAGGTAACATTCATAGTATTAGCTAAACTATAAAGTAGTTGACTATAGAGAGTCAGTGCAGTGGCTAAGTGTAAGGACTTTAAATTATTTGAATCCAGGCCCTGCTACTTACTTTCAGTGTATTCTTAGAAAGTTAGTTATCTTTCTGGGTGCAGTTTCCTGATCTGGAAAATGAATACAATAAAAATACCTGTAGTAAATACAGAATTGTGACTTTACATGAGTTAGTTTAATTATGGAAGACTCTTTGGAGAAAAATTTAAAGATTTAAGTAAAAATATAGTGTGATTTCATCAAATAATTCTATACCCTTGAGTGGAAAGCCTCAGTATATAAAAAGCATGTGTCTCTTCCAACTAATTTCCATATTCAATTAAATACCAATATAAATTATGAATAAATCTGAAAAATTTAGTAATAAACTTACTTTAAAATGTATGTATAAGACTAAAGCCCATGAATATATAAGCTAAACTTGTAAAAGAACAATGAATAAGCAGACTAACTTTATCTGATATGGACATGGTTCAAAAAACATATCTCAAAGCAGTAGTAATAAAAATAGAGGTATTGGCAAAAGGACAAACATATAGATCATTGAAAAAATAAACTAGAGATAGATTAATACATATGGGTATTTAGTATAAGACACAAGTGATACTCAGATCACTGAGGAAAGCATGAAGTGTTTGCTAGAAAATGCTCACTACCTCTTCCCTTTTGTGACCATTGCTAAAGTAGTAGTGACCAAAATGAAATTCAATTCTTTTGTGACTTCTGGCTGAAGCAAGAACCACAAAAGGCATTTCAGTGCAGCTGTCTGCAATGGCAGGAAGACTATTCTTCATGCCTTTCCAAGGAGATAAAATAGAAACATGATGTCCCATTCATCCACATCTGAAAGGGATGACAAAGTTCAGGTTGTGTTAGGACGTTATAAAGGCCAGCAAATTGAAGTAGCAGTCCAGGTTTACAAGAAGATATGTTGCCTGCACTGGATGGGAGCATGAGAAAAGGCTAATGGCACAGCTGTCCATGTGGGCATCCACTCTAGCAAGGTGTTTATCAGCAGACTGAAACTGTACAAAGACCACGAAAAGTCCGTGAAGAAAAAGCCAAAGTTTTCTAAGTAGAAAAAGAAAAGGGCAAATATGAGGAAAAATCAATTAAGGAGATATAGGAATAAAATAATCTTATGTGTGACTTTCTTTTCTCCTCCTTCCCTTCTGCTCTCCCTCTCCTTTTTCTTCTTCCAAAGGGTCTCACACTGTTGCTCAGGCTGGCCCTGAACTACTGGGCTTTCTGCCTCAGTGTAGCTGAAGCTATAGGTCTGTGTCACCATGCTCAGCTATTCCTAATAAATAGACAAGTTCATAGTCATAGGCCCTGAACAGAAGGCTATATATCTTTGGTGCCATAATTTAGGATTTCCATCCATGTAAGAAGTAAAATCCCAAAGGGGCTTGTGATCAACTGAAATGGTAGATCTGCACTTATATGTCAGCGCTGTAGATGTTAGGGTCCTTTATAACATAACAAGGGCTTTACTTTCTGTTTTCCTGTCATTCTAGTCCATAGCTGTCATTGAATTTGAGCATATGAGCAGGTGCCTGCATAACGTCAGACAATTGGAGAGCCAGCACAGCTCCAGACCTAAAAATTGGGCTATCAGAAGTAACAAGAGGAACTTTATATTCCTTGTTACATACTGAGCCCCAGTATGACATACTGAGAACCTGGTTCTATGGAGCTCTTTCATCTTTGGTGAAGAATTGCCTCAAAGAAGGAGGAAAATAGTGAGTGAATTGAGCCAGAAAAAGCTACAAAACTGAAGGAACTTTGAACCTATGACCAAAAGACCTAAGTTGTAGCCCATTTCTGCTACTTGATAGTTGTATGGGCCTGAACAAGGCACTTGTTTTCCTAATTTTATGATGTATTTGCAAATTGGAGGTACTAATCTTTGGTTGTTCTAGTTTTGTTATGTAGATCAGATTATATAATGAACAGGTAATATTTTTGTAAGTAGTAGAGGGTCATCAATATTGAACTATCCCTCTACAGTGTGAAGTATAGTTACTATTTGTGGATTAAGGCACACATATCAGTTTCTTCCATAACTGCCCTTTGGACTATGATATTTTAAGTGATGATTTCCAAATGGGAGGAGGAGGAGTTAGAATCCTAAGTGACTCATAAAAGCTACAAGCAAATTCACAAGTCCCTTGTTTCCGCTCACCAATCCCGTACAACAAAAAGCACACCAAAGCCCTCTTCTTATCAGACAGTATCAAGAGAGCAGGATGATTTCAGCCAAAATCAAGCCCACCGACCCACCACAAACATCACAGATGTGCATAGTGAGTCCTATCTCTCTCACCACCTGCCAGTTAGAGTCATTGGGTTGCCCTTCTCTAATCCCAGGAAATGGTAAATAAGAAAACTAGGAAAACCTGTTTTTCTCCCGTGAGACTTTTACAACGTCTCTTAAAGTTTTCTGGCATTCTTTTAACAAACAGACTTGTGGAATTTCCCAGAAACGACTTAATTTTCTCAGTTAACAAGCTTCTTGTGATCAATTCTTACAACTAGATAGCTGAATTCTACAATTTCCCACAGTGGCCTACTTTTGTTTTTATGTATTTAAATTTTTTTTTTTTTTGCTGTTCTGGGGATTAAACCCACAGACTCACACATGCTAGGCAAGATCTCTACCACTGAGCTACATCCCTAACCCAAAAGTAATTTTAAATACAGAGTATGTTCAAAATTCCAAAGGTAAGGCTTCAACTTTAGTAACTGATGGTTACTAAACTGATGGTTACTGATAGTTATCATATACTTCTGTTTATTTGGAGACCCACAGAGTGGGAAATTTACAGGGTCTGAAGATGCTGATGTCAGGGAAAGCAGAAAGAATAGGACATATTTAGGCATATTTAATGTCTAATAAATATGTAGCTCTATAAAAAGATTAAACAAATGTTTTCTTTTTGTTTCTTTGTTTTTGGTAGTGGGGATTGAACTTGGGTCCTTGCACCTGCACAGCAGGCGGTGAAACCACTGAGCTAAATCCCCTGCCCAACAAATGTATTCTTGTAGTGCAATAAAAAATGATCTATTTTGTATTTTAGTTTAATAATTTTAATTGGCTTTATTGTTTGTTAGACTACATTTCATTCCATAAAATAGAAGTATTTCAATGAGCTCAGTGGAAGAGGTTGGTTTTATCAAAAGAAAAAAGAAAAGGGCCGAAGAAAGTAGGAACAAAAAACCTAAAAAAGCATATTGGTCATTTCAGAGTTTCTTCCTTGTAATGAAGGGACAGGGAAACAGAGCAATAGAAAAAGAATTGATTGGTTAGCATCAGTTTGCCTCAGGTTATTTTTTGTATGTGTGTGAAAGGGTTAAGACAGAAGGGACTTTATTATTATGCCAATTAAAACTGGCTTGTTTGGGAAATTTGGCTGTCATCTTTCTAATATTAATTTCTCAGATGACCAGAAAAACAGATTAGTTTCAGTTTGGCGATGTGAAACTTTAGCATGAGTGACTCCATTTTGTTTTTCAGCTTGGTCTGTGGGGCCTAGTATATGAGCTTACTTCAAAATGATGGCCTTCTGTAATTTTTTTTAAACAATAGACTCTCAAGAAATAGTTATTCAGTAAATAAATAAACACTCCTTTAGAGGGCAGTTTGGGGCTATATAATAAAATATAACATGATATGTAACTTTGACTTAGTTAATTCTACTTCTTAGAATTTATTTTAAGGAGCTAACAGTGTAGGTGAGAAATGATATACATAAGGTTAGTCACAGGATTGTTTATGGTAATGGAGAGAGAAAAACAGAGAGATATCTAACTATCCACTAATGTTACATTGTGATAAATCAGTTAAAAGGACATTATGATATGGAAAATGTTTATGAAATAGTGAGGAGTGGAGAAAATTAATTCTGGAACAGCATATATGAAATGATTACATTCTAATAAGATTTGATCCAATTCCACTTGTATCTTAGCATAAAGTAATATATGGAAAGGTATTTGGCAAAATATTAACAGTGTGTAGGAGTGGGATTTGGATGATATGAGCAAGCTTTGGGGTAATCTCTAATGAGTTTTGTATATTCCTGTGTAATTTTTGAAATAAACTTCTTTGGAGAGGTGACAATGATCTGCCTGACAGTGTTATCTCTGTCCCTGTGGCCCTGCCCTGTGCTGTATCTGTGGCATAATTTCAAAGGTTAAAGAAACTTCCTAAAGATGACCTAGAAGCACTAGTTTTAGAAGGGTGTAAAAAATAAATACATGAATTTGTACTTTAGGTAAAGCCAATAGAACTCTTTTGCAAGTGAAAAGAACTTTTTAGAATTTATTCTAGTTCACTCTATATCAAAGCAGCCCCCTCACCAGTGACCATACTTCCTGTGTAAGGTTTATCTCAGTCCTCACAAGGAGGGTCATAAGGCTTCTTGCTGTTGTAATTATTTTTACTCCTTTCCTATCTCAATTTGAACCTTATATCATCTTGCAGATCAGACAGTAGTTGTCTTCTAACTCATCTCCCTACCCCATTCTGCCACTTGGTCCAGTGCAGCGAGCTACTGCAGCGCCCTGTAACTCCTTGTTCAAAGCCACAGTCTCAGGCCTTCCACATATACTTCTCAGCTTCCCTTTCTAAACTCCTCCTCAGCCACTCTTCTCCACATTTCACCTGCCCAGGTCTCACTGCTCTGTTTTGATCATTAATGCCTGTGTTGCTCCTTCTCTGGAACTCCTTCCTCCAATCTCACCTTCCTTTGAAGGCCATCTCACAATTGACTTTTTCACTCATCCCCCAGAGAAACTAGGTTCTAGAAGTGCTATAGGGACATACTCTGCACAATTCCTTGCTTCTTAGAAAATTGCTTTCCCTTTATTTATGTATTAAGTGTGTATGACTGGCAAAGTGCTTGAAAGCAGGAAATGGTTCTTATGCTTTCTTACATTACCCACGGGACCTACTTATTTATTCATTCAACAAATATTTATGTTATAGAAGAATTCTATAATTTCTCTCCCATTTGCAAGGCCATAATTATTTTCTTTCTACTGAGCAGTGAATGATTCAGAACTCTGAGAGACAAATATAATTCAAAAGGCTTTTCCTAGAGAATCCCTTTTGTTAACTGCTAAAGGTACGATAAAATAATAATCAGTAATGTTATTGCTGTTTTTTTTTTCTGTTTGTCCCAAAGACCCATGTAGAATCTATCTCTTAACTCCTTTTTTATAATTGAGTTGATTCTCAGTAGACGTCCAATTAGAACTTTCCTCATTTAGTTACTGAAAGGTCAACTTAATTTTTTTATCACAAATATTACAAAATATCAAGTATCCATAATTTATCAAGATAGAACAAAATATAAAAGTTTTATGAAATGTCTTACATTTGTTTTAATTTCCTCCTAGTAACATACAAATTATGTTTGGGAATGGAATATCTTTGCACCCATAGTCCACGTCATGCTCTTCAGATGGTTCTATATGAAAGAATTATTGTACACAAATGGCCAAGACTTTTGGTCTGTGAGTGTAGGATTTTAAAAAAAATACAATTATCCTTCTTGTTTTTCTTTTGGGCAAGATGACCATAAAGATGGTCATAAATTTGTAGTATTAAGGACACAAATACTGGTATTATTTTAGACAAAGCCAGTAGCAGCTTAAATAAGGTAGAATTTACCTCTCTAGTGTTCTTTTACAACAAAGTGGGTGCATGCAGTCAGGGTGGTTTATGGCTACCTGGGGTTAGGGGTCCACACTTCTTTCTTCTTGCTCCATCCTAACATTCAGCTTCCGCTGTGTGGACACCATGACTGCTCCACTTTAGCAATCATTTCTGCTGTTCAGCCAGTGCCAAGGGGTAAGTGGAAGGGGAAAGCATGATCCTTTCACTCTGGAGCATGATGCCCAAATTGCAAACCTCCTTCTGCTTACACCCTACTGGCCAGAACACAGTCACACAACTACACCGAGCTGCAAGAAGGGCTGAGAAATATGACCTTTACATGGGCTGCCATATGAACAGCTAAATACTCTATTGACATAGGAAAAAATGAGAATGAATATAAGGGGACAGTTGACAGTCTCATCCCTTTGCGTGAACACGGAGGAAGAGAAAAGGAGAATAAAAGAATTTTGGAAGTTAAGAAATAGGAAGAAAGAGAACAGGAGAAGGAAGAGCCAGAATGCTTTGGTAAAGGTAGCTATTGTACGATGTCCTCTCATTTTCTATTGTTCACTTGATTCTAGCTTGAGAGAGAGAGAGAGAGAGAGAGAGAGAGAGAGAGAGAGAGATTTTTTTTTTTTTTGTACTGGGGATTTAGCTCAGTGGCTCCACCGTCTGCCTCGACCCCGATAGAGAGTTTTAAAATACAAGATCTTGCTAAATTGCCCAGGTTGGCCTTGAATTCATGATCTTCCTGCCTCACCCTCCTTAGTTGCTGGGTTTATAGGCATGTGCCATCACTCCCAGCAAGACTTCATTTCTTATCACTACAATTTACAGTGCTATTTAACAAACTTAAGCCTATTTTCATACCTTTCCAGAAGCTCTAATTATTGAACTTTGTTAATGGAATAAATATTTGTGATTGCCTTTTGCAAGCTTGGAACTGTGGTGTGTGTCAGGCATACAGTGGAGAACAAGACAGATCAATCCTTGCCTTTGGAAAATGAAAGGGGGAATGAAAATAATTAATTATGAAAAATGAGACTTTCAAGTAGCTAAAGCAGCCTAGAATTGAGCACTCAGAGATGATAGGTAGAAAGAATATTTTCTTGTATTAAAGTCTTTCTGAGTAAGATGCCCAAGGACACCTAGGAAGAGAATTATTTTTATGGATTTCATTGATCCCAAGAATGTTACACTACAGCAAAAGATCAAATCCATTTAATTAAATTTAATTAAGCAGCCATGTCTTGAGCACCTATTGTGTATGAGACCCTGGGCCAGATGCTGTGCTACAAAATAGAATGAGAGATGATCTTGCATCTTAAGTGGCTTATGCTTTCCCAAGGCAGGCAGTGCAACTCAGTGAGCATACACTACAGGAGAGATGTCCAGAAAAGTTAAGGTCACAGGGAAATGAATTCTAGTTTGGTAAGGTCTCAGCAAACATAACATGTTAATCAACCCATCAACAATGCTGACAGGCCATAAGAATCTCACAGGAGGACACAGATGGAATAAAAAGCAGAAAACAGAATGTGTTTCAAGACTGAGGTTTTGTCAAATGTAGCTGATAGGATATCACATGATTCTAGGGGTATGTATAACAATTTTAAAAAGGTGGAAAGTAGATACTCAGGAGCCCTTGGTCATAATGCTGAGGACTTTTTTGGTTTGGTGATCAGTTGCTTTCTGCCTTTGAAAGCTGACTATGGAGAGAGGAGAGTCTGAGGGCAAGGATCAGAGAAGCTTGTCTTAGTCATTTTCCTTGTTGCTAGGACAAAATACTAAATACCCACAACT